TTAGTGTGTGCACGCATGCGTACAAAAATGGCAAAGATCCAGTTAGCATGTGTAACTGGTCCCGAGTCTGACCATAAACAGCAACCAACTGGAGGGCTTGTGGCAGTGTGGTGGGACTACTCATGACAGGGTGGCTCGCAATACTACAATATTGCAACTTCCAGAATAAGGCGAGTATAGGGTTCCCCAAAACCCTAGCCCCCAATGTCTTGTGGGTATTCCTTGGTTGAAAAAGGCTAAAAGGTCATCACCCTGACAGAAACGTGCCCTCGCCGAGGCATTCAGCAGTCAGCAACAGCTGTTAACTGCTGCACTCTGACAGAAGCTACAACTATCAAAGCACTGAAAATCTAGACAAAGTCTGAAAGTCAGACCAAGTCTCGATAGTCTAAAGGAGGGGGGCGGTAGGTGTGGGGCAGCCTCCACTTCTCTGTACTCTTGTCTAGGCACACTGAAGGTCTTAGTGTGATCTACACTAGCCAAAATGATAAAGCAGCTTGCAAGCTGGAGTATTCAGACTCAGATTTATGGAAGACTGCACTATTAAACTATGGATTGGTTAGACTCGGAACTGACATCACTGTATTATCAGAAACTCAGCTCTCAGATACAAGTTCTATCCAAAGTAGTGTTTACACCATATTCTGGCATGGGAAACCAGCAGGAAAAAAAAAAACAAAACAAAACAAACACACACACAAGAGAACAGATAATAGGCTTTGCTATTAGAAACAGCTTACTATTTTTCTGTGAAAGCCCCATTGCTGTATCTATTCAACTCACAACACTCAGAGTGCACACATAGAAGACGGGCTTCATCATGTTTAGTGTCTATGCATCTCCCCTTCAAGCTAGCGATGAAGACAAGAATGCTTTCTACTAACAACTTGGAGAGAGACAATCTCAGAGAAATGAGACCATTCTAATACTTCACAAGTTCAATGCATGAATTGGATGTAGTTTTAAGAATTGGCCTGGTATTCTAGGCAAACACAGAGTTGGTAATATGAATGAAAATGGCCAGCGAGTGTTAGCACTTTGTACAAGTCAACATCTATGGATTACCAACACCTACTTCTCTGGGGGGGGGGGGGGGGGAATCACAAGACAGACATTGTGTGTGAGGGTGGAGAAATTACAAGACAGACAGCCCAAGATCAGGGCACTGGTACCAATTAGTATGGGTACCAATTAGTGCTAGTACTGAGCAGATATAACCAACTGAAAAGAAATCCTATATACGAGGTCTTATCACAGTTCTGACCGTGACACTGACAATGCCTTAAACTGCTTCCAAGTCAGAATTAATGTCAAAAGGATCCACCATAGCAAAATGTCCAGTCATCTTCAGATGGACATCAGCCAAAACTCAAGACATTAAAAAATGCATACTATTCAAATGAACACATTGTAAAAGCAAGCTTGCCTAACTCAGCCACTGAAGCTTGGGAAAGTTTTAAAAAACTAATGTACAATACTGCTATAACAGTATTTGACAAAAGTGCCAGAAAAATACAGACTGGTTTGAAGAACACCCCAAAATACTTCTACCACTGGCTGAGAACAAAAAGACAGTGCTAACCAACTATAAGAAATTTCCCAACACCATAACTGTAGAAAATCTGAGAAAGGTTTACAGAGAAACGCAAAGAGAGGCTAAGGTGTGTGCCAAGATTTTTGTCCAAAACTCTGTGATGATATTCAGAAAGAAGCTGACACAGGTGATAGGTCGTGGAATATACAAAGGCATCAAATGAGCAATTGGTCCAGTCAAGAAGAAAACAGCTCTCCTAAAAGACAAATAGGAATGCTATTACTGATAAACAAAAACAACTTGAGCATCAGATTGAATACAATGGAGTTATATACTCCAGTGAAACTCAGATCAAATACAAAGAGCTTGAAGGACTACCACAGTTCAAAGTTATGATGGATTTAGACAACAAGCCTACATTAGAAGATTTGCAAAAAGCCATTAAATCAATTCCTGGGAACAAGGCATCCAGCAATGACTTTTTGCCTGCTGAAATCTAGAAGTGTGCCAATTAAGAATTACTTTCAAAGCTTCATGAAGTATACTGCTCTGCTGGAAAAAGGAAGTGGTACCACAAGATTTCAAAGATGCTCAGTTTGTCCAATTATACAAAACAAAATGAATAGAAGCAACTGTCATAACTACAGAAGTATCTCCCTGTTGAACATCATCAGAAAAATTGTTACTTGCATTGTGTTCCCTAGGTTGCAATCTCTGGGTGAAAGAATCTATCCTGGAAGTCAATACAATTTTTGTTCAGGATGCTTCACCATTGATATGATATTTTCAGTCAAGCAACTGCAAGAGAAGTACAGAGAAAAACAATGAATACCACTGTACATAGCCTTCATTGATCTGACAAAAGCCTTTGATATGGTCAACAGACAGAGCCTTTTTATTGTTCTGAAGAAACTGAGTTGTCTCCCCTAACTGTAGAATATCATTTGCTCATTACATGAAGATATAAAGGCAACTGTAGTGTTTGAAAACAAAGAATCAAACACCTTTGTTGAGGCAAAAAATAGGGGTGCATCTTAGCCCCTGTACTTTTTAACATCTACTTTCCATGCCTGCTTTTTCATGAATTCAAAGACAGAAATTATGGCATTTATCTTTGAAACAGACTAGATGGAGGCTTGTTCAACATCACAAGGTTTACAGCAAAAAAACAAGGTGAAAAAACTGGCTCTGAAAGATTTCCTGCTTGCAGATGAAGCAACCTTGGTTGCCCACAGTCAACCTTCCCTGAAAAATCTCTTGGGCAGATTTTCTGAGTCATGCAAGAGCTTTGAAAGAGTCATGGCAATTAGTCTGAAGACAACTGTGATCATGTACCAAGGGGTGAAAGGGCCCATACCCAACATTATTCTGGAGGATAAGTCTCTTGGTGCCATTGACAGTTTTTGCTGCCTGATTCTATGATCTAACATGAAGATGCGAATTTATGAGACTTGCGAGATGT